TGAGATTTGCAGATATTGGCCACTATATATAAAAACATTTAAAAAAATGTTTCTTCTGTATAATGCAGGGAACTGAGTTCAGTATCTTGTAATAACCTTTAGTGAAAAAAAATACGAAAACGAATATGTGTGTGTGACTGGCACATTATGCGGTAGACCAGAAATTGACACATTGTAAGTGACGGTACTTCAATTAAAAAAAAACTCTGCTGCAATAAATAATCTTGTGCATACTGTACTGTTGGAGGTTTATCTTCAGAGTAAATTCCTTGAATTGCTATTCAATGTAAATGCAAAGTAGTTTTGTTCAGCACTGCCGAGTTTCACTCCATAAAAGGTTGTGCCAATTTGCATTCCCACCAATTGTAGACTAAAGGATCTCTTTCTCAGTAATTAACCTGACAGGTGAGAAATGGTATTTCAGTATAGTTTTAGTTAGCATTTTTCTTATCATAGTGAATTTGAGTATCTTTCACAGATTTGAGGGTCACTGACATATTGTTGGGGTCTGTGTGTGTATATGTGTGTGTGTATGAATTGTATCTGCATCCCATTTAGCAACTGGGGTTTTTCCTTCTTAAAGTATTCTTTATATATTAGGTATATTAGCCTTTTACCTGTGATATGTGTTGCAAATTTTTTTCCAGTTTGTCAGATACATTTTTATTTGTTTATGTTTATATTTTGTCACGAAAAAGTTATTTTTATTTGGGTGTAATAAAAGGAATCAGTCCTTTCTGTTATCACATGGAGATTAATGAGTCATTATCAGAAAGTCTTTCTTACATTAAGATTAAAGAACAATTCAGTTGTGTTATATTCTGATCCTTGTATGGTTTTGTTTTTTTATGTTCAGATCCTGATCCATCCTAAGTTTGTTCCTACGTATGGTATGCAGTATTTATATACATACATATGTTACTTTGTTTTACTTTTATTAGATGAAGGCTTTTATTTTTCTTTTCTCGTAACTATGTCCAGCTGCTTTTGTCTTTAAAATATTCTGGTCTTTTAGAATCAGAGAGGAGCATTCCACCTTTTTTAGTCTCTGAAAGAGTATGTATATAATCAGCATAGTCTATTCCTGGAGAGACTCGTTTCCTTTGTGAGAAGATTTTAAAATATTCAAGTTTTCTCTTCTAACTTCGTAAATTCTAACTTTTGGAAAGCTAGACTTTCCTAGGACATTTTAAATATCTGACAGTGAGAGATAGGGAAGAGCAGAACTTTGATAGGTCTTTTCTCACTTTATTCTCCCACAGCCAGCTGGTCATCCTCTATCCCAAGGCAACACCAGCACCCCTCGCAGGAACTAGTTCACCGTATCCCTTGGGCTCTCCGGAGTCAAGGAACTCTGAAGTTTTCACATCATCACTCTTAGTATCCCCTTTAGTTCAGCATCCTGGTAGGAACTGGCCTAATATTTTATTTACTATATCACATTTAATTTTTACAGCAATCTTTGAAATGCATATATTTATTCCAACAGTAGTGAAGAGGAAACGGTAGCCAACAAAAGTAACTGAATGAAAATCACATGATTTGCAAATTATGCATACAACCCCAAATACTACCCACAAATTTTGCTGCCATAAATTATTTTGTATACTTTGTGCAAATGAATATTCAGTGGGTGAAATCATATCCTATGGAAAACAATTTCTTTTAACTTACTATGTCTGTACTTTATTTGTAGGTATAGTCAAACCACGTGACCACTCTAGATGGCCTAAGGTAAATTTAAATTTCTCAGTTCTGAATTCTGATTCTAATTTGACCACTCTCTTGACATGAGAGACCTAAAACTTCATTGTGGTAAAGTAGAATGGAAGTTTTCTATGGGACTTTGGGCAGGCATCTTAACTTCTCCAGGCTTAGATTTACCCCCATATAGCACAAGCAATGTAATAGTACAATACATCTCTGAACATTAAAAGAAATAATATCTGTCACTAGTCCAAGACCACGAAGTGTAACAGTGGTATACACAGAATTTGATCTCAGTCTCAAAACAGAACCTTCACTTTAACAGCTACATTTGAGCCCGTCTCCTAGGAATTCACGAACACATAACTATCTCTACTTACACACTTTTTATAATGAGTTACTAGCATTGGGACATTGGGACTCCAGGTTTAAATGAAAACTTTGCATTTGGAGTTTAAACTGAGTTATTATAATGCTTATGACTTTAAGAGATGATAGATGGGCGAGGACATTATAGTCAGAAAAAAACTTGCCTGACCAAAGCACAGAGAGGAAATCCCTGAAAAAGATCAACTGATTAGTAATATCTGATATTATTTCTGTGTAGGGCAGAAGTGACAGGCCAGGAATAGATGAAGGAAAATCTATCAACTGTTATTCATATGATATTTTATGACATCTGCAGCCCAATTGTAAAATGTACTACCCAGTGGATCCTTCTTATGACTCAACCTGTCCTGATGTAACAGCATATGTTTGTGCTACAAATGGCCAGACTTACCAGAATGAATGTTTTCTTTGTCTTGCTCAGTGGTAAGTTCAAAAAAAAGTACCATTGTTTTTTTCTCTTTAGTTCTTCACAGAAATTTCAAAGTAAGTTCTGAAATGGTTGATAGTATTTCCAAAAAATCAGATTTTCTCTAAAAATATAGATTTCCAGCATCTTTAAAAAAATCAAACATTATACTGTTAGTAAGCTGGATTTCACAGACAAGAAATAAGCCACAGCTGTCTAGTAACGCTACCCATCTAAAGGGGGTTCGGGTGTTCCGGAAACCTGCAGTCCCATCTCTTTCTGTTGAGGGAGGGTGGCTCGCTTCACATTTTATAATACCAGCTCGACTCTTACAAGGAGTTATGTTTATAGCCCCTGAACCACGTGAGAAACTAGGTATGTATCAAATATGAACCTGATATGGGGGTCAGTGTGGGAAGTCTCTGAAAGGAAGAGGCAGTTAAAGTATTCTTGAAGAAAAATGCAAAAGAAAATAGAATGGGTGATTTACACAGGGCTCACTGCTTGGGAAAACACGTGGAACTGCAGAAACGCACAATGTCTTTAGGGAAATAGTGAAGATAAAAATTGTGTTGAAAAGAATGTTATGTATTTAAAGAATAGTAATATATAAGGGTGGAAAGTTAGGCAGAGGTCAGTCTTCTGGGAAACGTAAACACCACAGTAAGGAAAATAGATTCGTCTATGGGCAGTGTAAACCTAGTGAAGATTTGAACAGAGAATGTGAATTATGCACAACATTATCACTGTGGTTATCTTTTACTGCTTGGTAGAAAAATCTGGCATTGCTACATTGACTGGAAAGGTATTAAAATGGGAATGGGTTAGGGACTGAAAGACTCTCTTTTGGAAACCTTCACAGAGCACTTGCTGAATAATCAAGACATAGAGGAGGAATGTGCCAACTGTGGTGGTGATGGACAGGCCGGGAAGGGGTAGGGGGAAGGGAACTGGAGAAGCAGCTCCATTTCTCAGGACTTCATTTAGAAGAGAAGGGAAGGTGAAGTAAGACCCATTTTCCTTTATGATACTAATCTCTTGTTTTCTCTTTTCTTTAGGGAATTGGGTCATCGTATTAAATTTGATAAATATGGAAAGTGTTACTAATGGGTAACAGAGTACTATACTTGTTTATTCTCTTTACTAATTCTGAAAATTATTTCTTTTGGAATCTGAGGGTGTAATAAATAACATACCTCTAAGCTGTACCCAAATCTGGAACAAATGATAAACAAACAAAAGAAAACGAATGGACAGCTGAATGTTACATTTATCACAAACACAACAATGAAAGAGGTGGTAAATATTCATCTCTGGGCACTGATTGTTTGAAGTCAGCTTTCGTTTTGCTTAGGTCTGAGGTATGTTACCCAGTGGTCTCACAAACACTTTCCTGAATTCAGTTTACCCCACAGCGCAGGGTCATCTGCAGGGTCATCTGCAGGGTCAGACCCTGCCCCGCTAATCTCACTTAAAGACACGAGCCAAAGAGAAACTGTCCCCCTCACATGTGCACACAGTTGTTTCAGGCTTTCTGCCTCATATTCATGAATGAAGCCCACCTTCATTAAGAGAGGAAAAGGTCCACATGCTAACAGAAGGAGAGCTAAGAGTTTTGGAGAGAAAGGGAGAGAGTGGATACCATCTGATCCCCTAGTTCCAGCATACCTAATTCTCACTCCATCCCACCGTTCCCATTACATCAGTCAATGAATTCCCTTTTATTTTCTTTGCTTAATATGCTCTATAATCTGTCACTTATAGCTGAAAGATCTTGACTAATATAGGGAAGTGAAGTCACTATTATACTTGAGGCCGGGGAAATGAAGTGAAAAGCTCTGTGTTTTTACCTGGTGTGGCCAATAGATGTCAGCGTTACTCATCTAACTTAATCATTTAACCAGAAGAGTCCAGAAAGCACACAATTCTACTTTCTCCATCACCTATCCAGCTAATACACAGTCCACCTGTGCCAGGATGGAGACCCTTGTCGTCTTATGTCTTCCTTACCCCTGTCCCCAGTGCCCTTGGTCAGTAGGGTCCATCTGAGTGGCTCTCTTTGGAGTTGATGCAATAAAGTTTCAGGTATTTCAAGTCCCTCAAACTAAAGGGTCTCTTAAAATACAGACCTTCTCTTGTTAAGTTTGATCATCTTGTATAGTTACAACACTATTTCATTATTTCATCTTACCATCTCTGCCTCACTAAAAATAACAAAAGCAAAATCTTCTCCCACAAAGAGGGATGGAGGTACAACTCATCCCACCACAGAATAAAAAGGAGAGAATTGGGAAACTTCTAATTTATTTTTCCCTTTTCAAAAGAGAGCCTGCAATTATTCTACTTTACGAGGGAAATAAAAAGGGCATAGTCAGAAATCCCTGATTCCTAAGTGTCTTCTCTATTGTGCGAAAATGCTGCCTGGGAGACAGATGTGAACACACACGTGGTAACTAAGCACATACAAAGTGTCAGCTGAGAATGGAAATAATCACCTAAAGTTTCATATGAGAACACAAGTGTTCCAGTGAAGGAAGGGCAGTTTGACATCTTTACCAGCTTTATGGGCAGAGGTAGAGTTCTGAGAATAGTTTGCCCATGCTGAGTGAGCACACGCACCTTGCCAAGTGCTGTAAGTGTTTTCTTTGTCGCAGTTAATCTTCTCCACGGTCCTGTAAGCCTGATACCATTATCATCGCCATTTGACAGATGAGGAAATTAAATTTAGACAAGGTAAACTATACAATCTTGTAGTTTATAAAGAAGGAATGAAATTTAAATTCAATTATCCTGTTCCTAACCACAACCTTATGTTGTCTGCGGACCCAAATGGGACTAGAAAAAGAGAGCCTATAGATGCAGTAATGGACAAGTAACATACCAAAATAAAACTCTGCTTTCAGAATTATGAAAACAATTCTCAAACGGGAGTCAGTTTTCCTGCTTACTTTTCACATACTTGAAACAAATTAGTTAATATAACATCAGCTTTTTAGGTCTGGTCTGCCATTTCTCTGTTTTCTGATCTCCAGATCTATTTATTCTCCATTAAACTGTAAGAAAAAATTTTGGAGCACAGGCAAATAAAATCTATTCATTTAGCAAACATTAGGTCCCTATACTGTGCCAGACATTGTTGTAGGCACTGGGTAGATAAGGCCTCTATTCTCAAGGAGTTCACATTCAGATGGCCTTCTGCAAGAGCTTAGTGTTGAGAACAACAACAACAAAATAAACAAAACATGGAATAACAGTATCAGGAGGGGACACTGCCTGCTGTAAGCAGAGAGATGGCCAGAGGGGACCAGCAGTCAAGAGCAGCTGTTGAGATCAGAGAGATCTGGGAGATACAATGATGTTATGTAGGTAGGCTTTAAAGCCATGGATATAAGGCTCAGTCTTATTCTAAATGAGATGAAAACCAATTAAAAGGATATTCCTATTAACATACAGAAACCTGTTGCATTTCTTTACACTAACAATGAAATAGCAGGAAAAGAAAGTGAAGAAGCAATCCCCTTTAAAATCACATCCAAAACAGTAAAATACTTAGGAATAAATTTGACCAAGGAGGTGAAAGACTTATACATGGACAACTACTGATTAAGGAAATTAAAGATGACTTAAAGCAATGGAAAGATATCTCATGCTCTTGGATTGAAAGAATCAATATTGTTAAAATGGTCATACTGCCCAAGGCAATCTACAGATTTCATGTGATCCCTAATTACCCAGGTCATTTTTAACAGAAGTAGAACAAATAATCGTGAAATTTATATGGAATCACAAAAGACCCAGAATTGCCAAAGCAATACTGAACAAAAAGAATGAAGCTGGAGGAATAACCCTCCCAGACTTCAGACAATGCTTCAGAGTTACAGTTACCAAAACAACATGGCATTGGCATAAAAACAGACATATAGATCAATGGAACAGAACAGACAGCCCCGAAATAAACCCACAGACCTAGACTCAATTAATCTTGGACAAAGGAGGCAAGAATATATAGTGGAGAAAAGAGTGTCTCTTCAGCAAGTGGACAGCCACATGTAAATCAATGCAGTTATTAGAACACTC